ATATAAAACTTCTTCTAACTGCATCAAAAACGCAACCCAAACCCTAACTAAATTTAACTCCGCTTTAACCGACCCCCAAATCGATCGATATTTTTGCAATTTCAAATTGATATTATTCCCCGTCCCTGGTCATGACCAACTATTGATCACATCTTTAATGCTGTAATGGTTACACTACAGAATAATTTACTTCTGAAAATTGATTCAATTCGCGTATGACGTAAATATATTTCTTTGTTCTTAAATTTAGTTCATTGTTTTCCAAATAATCTTATCAAACATGTCCGAAGTCGTAAAAGGGAAACTCCGATATTTCGAACTTTTTTCTCATTCGGAATGGTCTCTCAACCACTTTTACTTGTGGGTCCAGGAAAATCATGATGCCACGGAAGAAGTTAATGCTCGTAAATTTTTCTACAACATTGTAAATGCCATCAGCAACGACTCAGAGGCTTCACAAGAAGTTCAAGAGGTTGCAAAAAAACTTTTAAAAAGAAAAAAAGTAAATATAATAAATGTGCAGTTAGGATTGGGGGGATTTAATTAACTTATTAGCAACTATAGTTTGGCATACTATAGTAAGTTGTAATTACGCCTCTAGTTAGAATGTGAGGATTGCATGATTACCGGCACATCCTGCTGAATCACATACTGTATTCGTACAGAGAGTGTCTGCGTTTACAAGTTCCTTTTGTTAAAAGGTCTACTGATTCAGGAAAAGGGTTCAGTTACGTCTCCCTTAATGGCATAACAAATGAGCCGAGGTTTTTGAGCATCCTCCATCCAAATCTTTTATTTTACTTCTGAGAAACGTTTTTCTCATATGTTGCTTTTTGTAGTATGATATCAAAGAAGCAATTGCCAGATGGAAAGATACAAGGAATAAGCGTATTTTGGGTGACGTGACCAACCTGATACCTGTACCTGTAGCAAGAGAAAAACGTAAAAATTATGACGCAAATATTATAGACATTTCTTCAAAAAGAATGAAAGTACCAGTTAATAGTGTGACTACCTTCGAGGCTAGTTCCAATATGCAGTATCTATCACCACGTGAGAAAAATTCTACATATTGTATATGGTTTTTTTGTCCTTTATTATTTACATATTTTTAAGTTCTCTGTCAAGAAAACGCGCTTGCCTGTATTCCACCGATCCTCGAATATTCTCCATTTGCTTGTGAATCAAAAAGTACAACATCAGTAGATAGTAAACCACCAAAGGAGGTTTTTTTGTGGGAAGACTTTTTAGAAAAGGCTAACGAACATCTCTTTGACCAACAAAAAATGATATTTGAAAAGCTACAGTTTCATTATAATCGTCCGTTATTTAATGAAGCAAATATTTGCGAAGCCGTGAATACCAATATTAATTCAATCTTAAATGAACTAATGGGAATAAATTATGTGTTTTCAAGCCAGAAACCTTATGTCAGTGAGCCTGACTTTACATGTTATCACAATGATGACTTGATTATGGTAGTAGAAGTTAAGAGAAAACATATTTTGGAGAAAATAAGCGAACGAACATTATCAGAATTTTATATGACGAATGATAAAGCCAAAATGGTAATCCGTCAAATATATAGTTACATGGTAAAAAATCAGCTTCAGTATGGTATAATTACCACATATGATTGTCACTGGTTTTTGTACCATCAGTCAGAGGTGCTTTACATTTCAAAGACACTTCCATTACAATCAAAAGCACCACCAGTATTAAAAGCATATGCTTATTTCGCATTACAAGCAAAAAATAATATATAAAAATAGTATTTGCTTTTTATCTTTTCATCCAAATTTATTCGAATTTGGTCTACTACAAGCAAACCTCTGAATAAAAAGCATATTTTACTAATAAAATTAGAGTCGAATATAGAGTAGCCTCTTCAAACATTTTGATTGTTTTTATTCATGAATTATAAAAAATAGAGTGTGACGTCAGGTTACAATATCATGTGACTTGTAGCGCAATAATCGAAATATTAATAAATTTTGCATGCGGAATTTATTCTAACACATAAATATCTTTGTTACGTGGGTATCGCTAATTCTGATAACATTCACATCGCCTATATATTCCATTCGCTATTTTTTTGCATATCTTACAATATAGGTGTGAATGATGATTGCATTCGTCACAAACCTTACACCCGTGCTTCCAGCCTCTAAAGATGTGCCACTTTTCGGTATAATTTTGTTT